GGCCCCAAATAAAACATCTAATAAATGACAACTTTTAATATAAAAAGGGTTGGTTGGACTAATATTGTTCGCTTTTTAAAAGTAAATCCCTTTTTCCCTGTGCAAACCAAAATTTTATGCACCGATCTGGCGTTAAGCTATTTTCCCTGTCCTTTTCTTTTCACCCTTCCCCTTTGTTTTTCCCCCCCAGTGTGTGGTGCAAACCAGAGTTTGGTTTTCTCACTGAAAGAAATAGAACCGTTTGGGGCCCCGTTACCATTCCCTTGAGGTGGGGCCCCCCCTGCAAATGAGGTTTGTCTTCAGAAAAACCCCCTTTGTTAATCTACCCCAAACCCCAACAAAAACAACTCCGGGTGGGTCCCTTTAGCTGAAATTAGCCTTAAAGAACATATTTGTTTTTAAAAACCCAAAAAAAGGGGTTAAGGGGATTTGGTGGATTGAATCGTTATTTTTCCCCCCCAAAATCGACTAGAATAAACATGAGATCCAAACCTATGGGGATATGAGAGCTAACCTAAAAGATAAAAGGGGAACCCTGAAATAAGCTCTGTAAGTGGGCCTATCTCTTTGCTCAGGGTTTTTTTAAAACATGAGTGAAATTGGTTGAAAAAACGGTCACTTTTTCAATCCCTTTTTAAAAGCAAAATTTTCCCCCCTGCAGGGAAATAGTTAGCTGGACCGGGCTTGTTGGCTCCAAAACAACCCATGGATGGAAAGACCTTTTTCCTCACTCCCCCTTTTTGTTTGGGGTTTGGGGCCCTGACAGAAGGCCCTGTTCTTTCCCCCTGGCTTGGGGGCCATTTTTTCCTTGGGGAAGTTTTCCCCATATTGTGGTTTTTTTCACCCACATCCAAAGAAAACCCTTTCAGTAAACCCCCTTTTGGGACTCCCAAGGGGGGCCCCCATCGGTCAAAAAAGTCAGAGTTTTGGGGAAAGAAACCCGGGGTTGGGCAAACCCCTTCCCAGTCCAGCAAAAAGGGTTTTAAAGGGATAGTTCCCCCCCATCCCAAATCCCGGTATCGAAATTTGCATTTTTTTCCCCTCATGTTTTAAATCATCTATAATGACTTTTTTGAGCTTTACAACAATTTTTAGATACTTTTTTTTATGATTTTTTCACAAACGGGAAAAAAAGCTAAAATCGATACCAGACTTTTATGGATATGTTTTTAAAGGGAAACTAAACCAAATCATGGATTGCCCCGCAAACCCTTTTCCATAGACTGTAAAGGGGAAAGGAACCAATTGGTTTATTTGTAATTTGGGGAAATATATCTTTAACCATTCTAAACAGTGGGGGATAATTGTTTTTGTTTTTTTTCTTTGGAATAGGGAATCATAACCCTCTTGCTTGTCTCATTGTTTTCCCTTCGGATGTTTCTTGGTCCATTTTAAAATTGCTTTTCTAGGGCATATAAACCCGTCCCATAGAGGAGGGAAATTTAAAGTATTTTAAAAGGGGGGCACTGACCACGCCGAATGGGAGGGGCTTTTCCCTGAACGAACAGTGGGGTGAGGAAAAACACATCCTGTAGAAACCACAGGGGGTTCAAAACGCTGCCGTAGGGTGCCCTTTCCCGGGCCGTGGAATTTCCCCCTTCCCCCCAACCCAAGGGTCCACTTGCTTTTTGTGGCCACCACAGGCAAGTGTTGTGGAAATACACACGCACCCCAAAAAAACCCCAAGCACAGGCCCTCAGCCCTACCAATCATTTAGACAAGGGGGTCAACATGCCAATTTTTCCTTTTACCCCGCCCGTCCGAGCAGGCTGGACTGTGAGGGCACTCTGGGACCAAAAACTGCGGGTTCAAGGGGGCAGAGATCCCCCTCTTCCCGGACCAGACCGCCCCCAGATTCTACAACCCACAACATCGGGGCCCAAATTTAGCTCTCCCCCCAACATGCCCCTCCTGTGTACGCACCCAGATCAGATTGAAGTCACTCTGGGGACAACGACATCGTACGGGGGAATGGGAAAAAATTTTTCTTGATCCTCACAAAAACCCTTTTTATTCTGCCCAAAGAAAGTTTCCCAAACTCTCCGGGAAATAGGTTCCCAATTGTGACCTTTTTTGGACAAGGAAATAACAAACGTTTAGCATAGCCTAGTTATTAAATACTGCACTTTATTACAATTATTAAATGATCCCAAAAAAACTGTTGTTTGTTTTTTTTTCCCGTACATTTTCCCTACAACGGGTTCTTCAATCCCGGGCCGGGGGGCCCAAAAAAACCTCTGTTTTTTTTATCCTCTCCTTCTAAAGGGGGTAATTCAGACCCGTGCAAAAAAAGGGGAGGCAATTAAATACTAGGTAGAAATAAAAAACAGAAGTGTTTTTTTGGCCTCCCGGGAAGGAAAGGGAAAAACCCGCCATACAAAATTTTCAAACCATTTTTGGGTTTTTTTATCCACCCCGATTCTGCAGGTTAAAAAATGCCATAATAGCTGTACTCTGTTTTTGCAAAAAATGATCTGTGTTTCAGCCTTTGCCACACATCCTTCCCCTCGCATTTGGGAGGGGAAAAAAATGCAAAAGATAGCTACTAGCTAGCTCTGTTTTTTCAAAAAAGGGGGCTGCGTTTTAGGCCTATTGCACATCATCCTACCCGACCCAAAAGGGTTACCGACCCCAAACCCTTTAAAAAGAGGTATTTTTTAAATGAATTCCGGTTTACGAAACTAACCCCTTTTTTGTTTTAAAAAAAAAATAAAACTAAAAAAAAGTTATTTTTTGAACTCTTTCAACCTTGGGCTAGCTTTCTATCAAATAATTTGGGTAGCCTTTCCGTCAAAGGTTTTTGCTCGCGAGCGGACCAATTTTACTCCCTGGGGAAAAGTTTTGGTGAAGGAAAAATTTTTGATTTTAAACTTTCCACCATGGAGTGAAATTTAGTCCGCTACGATCGCACCTTTCTGGGAGATGAAAGAATTTAGGCTATAACCCCACCTCAGCATGTTTAAAAATCCAAAGCAAAATAAAGTAGTTTTGGAAAGGTTTTCACTACAGTAGTTTTTAAAAGGGGTTTCAAATACATCGGAAAAACATGGGGATAAAGGTAATTATTAACGAAAAGGAAAAATTTTTTCCAAAAAAAAATAAAATAAATATTTTCCGAAATTACTCCAAACCCAGAGGGGGGGCGAGTGGTTTTGGGGATGGGCCCGCTAAACCATTGTGCTCGGAAAGCGTGGGTTTTGAAACCCCTCCTCGCGAAGGGTATTTTTCACCATTGGCCACTTTCGCAAGTGTTTTATTTATCGTTAGTCTTTACAAGAATAAAAAGGTTTTTTTATGCCTAATAAAGGGGAAATTTTAATTATAAAGCAAGACCCAATGAAGGGGTTTGACAACCTGGTCATATAAAACCCCTAAATGAAGCATAAAAAAACCATTTTAATGGCCCCAGATATCCCTATAATACCCGGGATTCATTGGTTTTTCCAAATTGGGAAAAAAAAAAATTTTAAAGGGTATGAAACCCCATTATAGCACTACATGTTAAGGGTGAGGGAAAAATTTCCGATGATTTTGTTTTAAAGTGTTTAACCCTTTAAAAGGTTAGGAGAGGAACCCCCCCAAAAAAATTGGGGTTTTGGGAAGTGAAATAGTGTTTTTCATTGTATGTCCCAGTGAAAACGTGGAAATATTCCCTATTTTCCCCCTGAGGCTTAGGGAATAAATGCTTGGGGGCGCCCCTTTTCCCCAAACAAAGACAAAAAAAAGGCAGTGAAAACAAATTTATCTTTGGTGTTGGTATAATAAATTATAATGGGGTTTTTTTAGCCACCAACTCGGCCCCTGGTTTGTTGGGGCAAAACCTTGGGGAAATAAATTTGGTTTTTTTTTAAGGTTTTTGGAAAACGCCAAAAATTTGGTCGGTTGGGGAAACACTTGGAGTCTTCTACATTTTGTTCAAAGGGAAATTTCCCTCACCAAAGCCCCCCACTTTTTAAAGAAAATTGAAGCATTTGTTAAAAAAAGCACATAAAGGGTTCATAAATTTATAAAGGACATTTAATGAATGATTTATCATAGAACCCCCAAAACATATAAAAACTCCTAAGCTTAGCCTTATTTTTGGGTTTTATCCCCAAACCCCAATTTTTTTCCCCCCTTCTTTCCCCAAATTTTCCCCTAAAAAATGGCCCGAACGAAACCAGAGTTAAAATCATTTCTTTTCTTTTTAGGAATACAACTGGCTTGCTTATTTAATTTATCCTTTTTACAGCATGAGGTATATCATTTAAAAAAAAAAGCAAAGGTGTATTTTTTTAAATTTAAAAACCAATGATTCATGCAAAATATCTAAAGGACTAAATCAAATTTTGGTTTTAAAAAAAAAAAAGTGGGTACACCAAATTTCAAAAGGCAACATATCCAAATATTCGGCAATTTGGGCATTTTTTTCCCTTTCAACCGTGTTTCTTTTCACCTCCATTTAAAATTTCAATTTTTATGGGGTTGATTCTATCGGTTTCTTAAATTTAAAACCTGAAGTTTATTTTTTTTATTTGAGAACCTCAAAAAACCAGGTCTACAAAACATAAACTAAACCTTTTGCACCGGGTAATTAATTAACTGTTTTAAAAAACATTTTCTGATGGTGGGGGAAATAAGCACAGTTTTAAAATATGAACCCCTTTCCCTCGACAAAGTAATTCCCTTTTTTTCACAAGCATTTATCAGAAACTTTACAACAAAAAAAAAAAGCACTTTATTTAGTTGGGCAAATTTTTTAAAAACACCCAAAAAAAAGCATTATTTGTAGTGGGCTTCAGAAAGAACCCTAGAATGTTTTCCCCAGGAATATGCGGGGGCCAGTTTCACTGGGGAAGCCAAGGGGGTCTGTTCGGTAGTCGGTCCTTTTCCTGTATTTAACCCTTTTTCATCCCCCTCTTTAAAAATGTTTATTTCAAAAATCCGTATTCCCCCCCTTTGGGCAAGCACGAGATTTTTTCCTTTTTCTTGTTCTCTGACGGGGGTGATACCGGCTTGGTTTAAAAGTCATGTGCTCTTTTTCTGTTTTTACGCACAGCTATGCAGTTTAAAAATGCCCCAAACCAGCAAACACCCCCAATGAAAAAACCCCCGGGGGGACCAGGGGTGCTACTAGAAGCCAGCCCTTTTCCTGCCTTTTTTTGTCCCTTTCCCTCAGGCCGCTCTGCCCCCGATGCAAAAGGGTGTTGTTTGGGGTGGAGGTGGGAACCCCCCTGATTTTGGTGGGGGCCCTTTAAAACCCCGATTTTCTGTCCCGGGGTTTTTTTACCACCCTCCCAGCCCCCCCTTTTGTTCTGGGGCTGCTTGGTGGTGGCTTGGGCACTAACCCCGGAAACCACTTTGGGGTCAACCCTGCTTGCCTTTTAGTGTCCCTAAACTTTTTGGGAAGAGGGGCGGGGGGAGGGGGTGTTTTTTACAGTATTTTGGGGGCTTTCTTTTGTTGACAACCTCCCATTTTGGGGTTTTTTGGTAAATCCCACGGCCCCGTGAGGAACCGGCCAGAGGTTGGGCTTTCCTGTGGGGGGGGTCCCGTAAAACCCGCCCAGGGGGCAGTAGGAAGCCTCTTCCCAAGGCCGTCCGGGTCTGTCAGCCACTCCCAAAAATGTGGTGTCGGGAACCCAGTCGGGAATTCGGGGAAACCCCGGGGGTGGGTTTGGTAGGGGGCGAGGTGCGGGGATTAATACCATTGGGTTCCCCCCCTCTGGAAAGGCCTCAGGAATAAATGGTCTTTACGCACCCCTCGTACCCTGCCTCACAATAAACCCTCAAAACCCCCCCCATAGTTGAGACCCCTTCTTTGGGGGCAGCTTTGGGGGGTTCACACTCCCTTTATGTCCTGGCAAAGGCCTGATTATAGGGCAGCTCAAAGAAGCCCTTTGGGGGCTTGGGGAGGCAAAAGGGAAATAGGGGTTTCTACCTTGGGTTCACAGTGCTGGATCTTTGCATTCATCAAATCCACACATTCCCATCTTAAAAGGGTCGTACCCCCATGGGAGCGACCTCAAATGTCCCCGGAGCATTTACAAGTATTAGGGAGGGCCAAAAACCGGCCCAAAACCCCATCAAATCGAGGCATTTTTCGGGAACCCGGGGCAGAGGGGGAACCATTTGGAAAATTTTCAAACGGAAACCCTTAGTGGGTTTTCTTCACAGCAAACTCAAGTTTTGGCCCCGCCACAGGAAGGGTTTGGCTGGCAGGTTTTGGGGCCCCTGCCCTTTTGAAGCCTTAAAAACACCGCATTTTATGGTGTCCCCCCATTTTTGACAAAAAGCTCACAGCCACCCTTTTCCTTTTTACACCCGCCCTGGGGGCCCTCAGAGAAAGGGGGATTCCTTTTACCAGCCCCCCCTCCCCTCCCCCCCTCAAGCATGCAAAGGGAAAAGACTGGTTCCTTTCCCACGCTGTCCTCAGGTTGGGCAGGGCCCAAAGGGGGCTAGAGCCAAAAGGGGTGTGAGTGAGGATTTCTGTGAGCCCGGGTGAAAGGGGTGGGGATTAGTGCAGGTCCCCCTCCCTCACTTTTTTCAAAAGGGCACTCCCCGGGAGGTGTGGGGACAAAGAATCCAAACCACACCGCGAGCAGGACCATCCAGCCACCCTTTAAGTTGTCGGGCTTTCTCCCGGGTTCCCGCAGCAGTGTTGACGCTCATGAACCCACACAGCGGGGCGGGCCCCGGTACTAGGTGAGTCCGCTCTCGCCCGGGGTTTTTGTACTGGGTGTTCCCGTTCATTTTCCATTGGGGAAACCTCTGGTGGGCGTGGGGGCAGAAACACTTCCTGGGCTGACGTGGGGCCCAATCCACCTTTTGACCTGGCCCGTGGCCCGGCTGTTACCGAAGACAGGAGCTATGCCCCAAAAGCCCTCCTCAGAACCCCTTTTGGGTTGCCCGGAAACCACGTTTGTCCTTTCAGAAAACCCGCAATTTTCCCCAAAGGTTTTTCGTTTGGGAAAAAGATGGCGTAGCAGCCATCTGCAGTGCAGAGGGCACTTTGCAAACCCGTAGCTCTTGGGCCCCGAGTCCGGGGGAGGGAGAGGCCCCGCACTGCCAGAAGAGCACAGGAGCGCAAGGCACAGAAAAATTTCCCATTTTGGGACCCTTGTCTTTTCTACCTACCTACACCTCTCTCTAATTTTACAATTTTTTTCCCAACTTAAAAAATAAATAAAAATACTCCCCCATTTTCCCCTTTTTCAAAAAAAATTCCCCTTTCATTTAGTCAGAGGGTTTCCTGACTCCCGCTTGTTAACCCCCCTTCCTTGTGGCAGAGTTTTAATGATTGCAGTAGAAAAGAAAAATGGGAGGGGGGGGAGGGGGGGAAAAAGGGAGGGATTTTAAAGGAAAAGGTTTTTTATTTTTGGGGAAAAGGGGCGGGGGAATGACTGAAATGTTGGGGCAGGGGGGGGTGCCGTGTGGGCGTAGTTTTTCTTTTTGGGGTATGGTTTTGATAGCTTCAAAAAGGGGGTTTACCATCCCAAACCCCGCTACCCAAACCCCCCCACCCCATCAAAAACTTTAGCCCATCCACAAAATGGAAAATGTTTTATTTTCCCATTTCTTGAAAAGATGAAGAGGGAAACCCAAAACAAATCTTGTTTTTTTTTCTAGGCACTGGTTTTTTCCTATGTGTAAATCGGTTTTGAAAAACTTTCCCATTTCTTTCTGATGTAAAATTCAAAAACCCTAAAGGGGAAAACAAAAACCCTCTAAAGGGACTGAATTCCCTTTTCCAGCTTTGGTAAAAATCTTTTCCCCTTTTTCAAAAGTCTGTTGGGGGTTAAATTTTGAGAGTTTTTCGTGGGTTTGGGTTTATTTCCCCCCCCGAAAATGAAATAGAGGGTTTATTCTTGGACCCCTCCTGATGCCTCGATGTTTAAAAAAAATTTGGTTTTGGGGTTTGGTGATTGGGGCCCCAAGTGTGCGACTACGCAGGTTTACATTTAAATTGGGGGGGAAAGGAAAATTTTTAAAACCAAAAAAGTTTTTAAAGTGGGAGAGGGTTTTTTGGGGCAGGATTTAAAAGGGGCCCAAAGGAAGTTTACTGGGGCTTCAAACCAAAACAATCGGCACGGGACCGTTTACAGGTTTTTCCCAAAAATCCCAAGTTCAAGAAATTGCTGTTTTTGTAATCTTTTTGTATTTTTCCCAAAAGTCCCCCTAAAAATTAATCCACCTTTGGTTTTCCAAAACTTTTTGGGTCAATACCGGGACACGGGCGCCCGAGGTTTGCCTAGCTTGCGGTTTTTTTACCATCCCCGGGGGAAAAAAACGTAAAGTTTTTTCAAAAACCCTCCGAAAAACCCTACTGGTCTTTTTTTCCAAAATCTAACAAATTTTTTTCAGGAAAAAATCCTTCCCGATGGGTACCGGGAAAGGGGTTTTTCCCTAATGCCCCGTAGGCCAGATAAAAGTACCATGCCGAGGGCTTAGTTAATCACTTTTAGAGGAAAATGTCTTTTTACCCTTGGGTTTAATTTTTATTTTTAGGTTATTTCAGGCCCCATGACCTTCTGGGGATTTCCAAAAAGTGTCAAAAAACACTTTAAAAATCCGTATCAAAAACTGTTTTTAATATCGGGGGTTCACACCCCCCCCCCCTTCCCCCCCCCCCCCCCCCATTTTCCCGGGCAACATTCATCTTCTTTTTTGGGAAGGAAACCCAAATTTAAGGGCCCGGTTTGCCCTTGTCTGTTTTTACATAGTCCTAGGAAAAAGTCAATATAAAGGGCTGGGTCCTCCAAACTGAAGGTGTTTGCCCCGTTTCCTGTATACATGTTTAAAGGGGGTGCCAAAGGAAATTCCCGAAAGTCCATCAGATTGAAACCCCTTCTTTCTGGGTTTTAGTTTCAGTGCCCCAAAAAAAAAATAAAAACGAGCCTATAAAGGTTTCCTTCCTGCTCCAGGCAACCTGCGATTTTTAAAACCGCATTAATTCCTTTTTTTAAACTATTTTTTTTTTACAAGGTTTTTCCTCTTGATTGTTTTAAACAGTTTTACCAAACCTTTCTTCAAGGTTGAGCTCCCCCCCCCCTGGTGTTGTGAACCCCTAACAAAAAAATAAATTTAATGTTTTTAAAAGTTAATCAAAACTAAAAAAATAAAGTTTTTTAGCCCTTTAAATCAAAGAAAATGTTTCTTTTATGATTTTGGGAAAACTGAAAATTATCTTTACATAGTTTTTAAAATTTGGTGCTTTTGATTTAAGTTATCCTAAAAGTTGGGGTTTTTTCTGTTCTTTTTGGGTTTTGGTTTTGGTTGGCTGACATGGGGTACACAAAATTTAAACGTCACAGCATGTATTTTCCCGTTTTGGGCATAAACCCGGATCCGAAAACAGCTATGTCTGAACTGTTCAACACGGGGCCCCCCAAAAGAAATAAAAAGGACCAAACGCTAGGTTTGTGGGGAATAAAAAACCCCGCACGGGGGTTTTAAATTTTTAAAATGTATTCTGATTTTGTAAAAATTTGGGGTTTTTTCCAAAGTTTGGGAAAGGCATTACCCGTGTGTGGAAAAATTTTGATCCTTTTTTTTTTCCCCAAAGACTTGTTTTTTTCCCCCAAACTAAAGGCTTGGGTCAATCTTGAATTTTCTAAACCCGCCCAAAAAAGGGGGCGGTTTTAAAAAAATGAAAAAACGAGCAGAACCTCTGCCCCAAATACCAAAACCAGACAGACTATTTTTCTTTACCCTCTGGGACACTGAAACCCCCAAAGGGAGGGGGGTTCACCCCACATTTCCCCCCCTCCTGACCTTTCCCCTTGCAGTAGCAGCGGGGGGACACCAGGGCATTTTACATTTTACCGGGTCTCAAGACGAGGGCCCCGAAGGGGCCCCCCGGGAAACCTCCCTGGGGGCCCGCTCTCAACAGAGGAAAAAAAGATTGTCCCCGTGGAGGAAGAGAGTCTTGTTTGGGAGGGGGTTTTTTCTCTGTCCCCTCTCTGGCTCCCCCTCGTTTTCTCTGCTTGGCCCCCTTTTCAAATTAGTCGGCCCTCAGAGGGCTCAAAATTTTGCTCCTTCGCTTCCAAAACCCCCAAAAACCCCCCTTAGCCCTTTTTCCGTTTAGGAAATTTTGGAGGGTTTCATTCCCGAAATTTCAATAGATAGAACAGACATGGTTATCCAATCAACCCCGGAAAAAAATCCAAATTTTATATTTCCACTCCTATGGAATTTTGCTTGAGAACTAGCCCTTATTGAAAGGGCCCAGGGGGTAAAATAGATTTCCTGACCTTTTCCCAACCCCCCACCTCTCTCCCCCTCCCTTTTTCTCCTTTAACCCTGGGAAGCCTAAAAGCATGTGTTCCCTTATTGCTGGCTTAGTGTAAATCATTGTTTCTCTATGGGGGGTGGGGAAAACAGTTTAAAATCATAACCTCAGACCTTGTCTGATTGGCCCGTGGGGTGCTAAGGGACAATGATTAAAAATTTCCTTTTAAAATGGGTTGAAAGTCTTCCTTTTGGGCCAGCTTTTTCCTACTATTTAAACCCTTTGGGGAAAATTAAATATTCAGGGGGTCAAATCCCCGGTCCACCTGTTTTTTGTTGCTCCAGTTGACCCCCTTTTTCTTTTAGGGATTTTTAAAAAAATTTTATCAATTGGGTTTTCTTTAGGGGGTTTGGGTTTTTTTAATCCGACGGCCTGTGAGGAACCGGCTAGAGGTTGTCTTTTCCTGTGGGGCCTCTGTAAACCAGCCCAGGTCAGTAGGAAGCCTCTCAAGGCTAGTCCGCTCTGTCAGCCACTCCAAAGCTGTGGTGTCGTAACCCAGTCTGGGAATTCGGGGACCCAGGAGGTGGTTTGGTAGGACGAGGTAGCTGTGGATGAATACTCATGTTCACCCTCTGGAATGGCCATACAGGGAATACTGGTCTGACTGCAGCTCGTACCCTGCCTCACCAATAGCACTCAAACCCACCCACATAGTTGAGACACTTCTGGTGGCAGCTTGTGGAGGTCTCACACTCATTTATGTCCTGGCAAAGGCCTGATTCATCGGGCAGCTCAGTGAAGCCGTGGTGGCAGTGGCAGGCAAAGGAACTAGGGGTGTTCTCACATCTGTGTTCACAGCTGCTGGAATCTTTGCATTCATCAACATCCACACATTCTCCATCTCATCAGGGCTCGTTAGCCCTCATTGCAGCGACACTCAAATGTCCCAGGAGCATTTACACAGATATGAGGGCAGGGCACCTGCAGACACTCATCAACATCGAGGCAGTTGCGTCCACCAGGTGCCAGCAGGTAACCATTTGGACATTTTGCAGCGGAATCCCTTAGTGGTCTCTTCACAGTCAAACTCACAGTTGGCCGTGCCACAGGAATGGTTCGGCTGGCAGGTCTGGCCGTCCTCTGCCAGTGTGAAGCCTTCAGAACACTCGCAGTAATAGTGTGTGTCTGCATTCTGACAGAAATGCTCACAGCCACCATTTTCCTCTTCACACCCAGTCCTGGGGGCCCTCAGAGCAGAGGGGGGCATCCTTTGACCAGCCCACACTCCCATCCTCCCTCAGCATGCAAAGAACAGACTGGTCTCCCTACGCTGTCCTCATGGTCTGGGCAGGGCAAGGTGGCTACTGAGCCAAAGGGGGATGTGAGTGAGGATGCTGCTGAGCAGGCTGAAAGGGGTGGTATATAGTGCAGGTCCCCCTCCCTCACTCTTCAGAGAAGGGCACATCCCCTGGTAGGTGTAGTGACACATGAATCCATCCACAGCCAGCGAGCAGGAGCCATCCAGCCACTTGAAGTTGTCGTGCTGCTCCCGGGTGTCAGCAGGCAGTGTTGACGCTCATGACGACACAGCGGGGCGCGGGCACAGGTACTAGGTGAGTCCGCTCTCAGCCAGTTGGTGTACTGTGTGTCCTGTTCACCTGTGATCCATTGGAATCCTCTGAGTGGGCGTGTGGCAGAGCACTGCCTGGGCTGACGATGGAGCCCAATCCACAGTCTGACCCTGGCCCGTGGCCCGCGCTGCTCCACCGAAGACAGGAGCTCATGCACCACAGCCGCCTCCTCAGAACTCTTTAGGGTTGCCAGGGAAACCACGTTTGTCCTTGCAGAACCATGCAGATTCCCGAAAGGTCTTACGTTGGAAATAGATGGCGTAGCAGCCATCTGCAGTGCAGAGGGCATCTTGCACCTGTAGCTCTTGTCCCAGAGTCCAGGGAGGCCAGCAGGCACACAGCACTGCCAGAAGAGCACAGGAGCGCAAGGCACAGATCATCTTCCCCATCTGTACCATTGTCTTTTCTCACCTACCTACACCTCTCTCTAAGTAATACAATTTTTTTTCCCAGCTTAAAAAAATAAATAAAAATACTCCACCACTTTTCCTTGAACAAAACACTTCTCTTACATTTAGTCAGAGGCCTTCTCCTGAGCTCCCTGCTTGTCTACCACTTCCTTAGTAGCAGCATTCTAACTGATCTGCAGTAGAAAGAAAATAGAGGAGGGTGGGAGGGAGGAAAGAGGGAGGGAGGGTACGTAAAGGAAAAAGGATTGTATATTTTTGGAAGAGGGGCCGGGTATGACTGAGTGTGTGGAGCAGGGGGGCTGCTGTGCTGGACGATAGTTTTCTCTTGTGCCGTATGGTTTTGATAGCTTCAAGGGAATGACTCTCAACCCTGCTACCAACCACCCCACCCACATCAACTACTTGAGCTCCATCCACAATAATGGAAACTGTTTTATTTTCCCAGTTTCTCAGACAGATGAAGAGTGGAAACTCAAAACAAATTCTTGTTTTTGTTCTAGGCACTGTTCTTTCCTATAGTGTAGTCGTTAAGAAAACATTTCTATTCTCTTTCTGATGTATATTCAACCGTGAAAAACAAACCGTCTCAGGTACTGAATTCCATGTCCAGCTTCTCGTAAACATCGTCTCTCTTTTTCAAACGTCTGTTGGCTGTTACATTTAGAGAGTTTACGTGTGGCTGGATTTATTCCCCCCAAGATATGATGAATAGATGTTCATTCTTGGCACACTCCTGATGCCTCGATGTGAAACATTGGTAGAGTGTTGGATGATTGGCCCAAGATGTGCGACTACGCAGGTTTACATAATCTGGGGGAAATGGAAAAGTATGCAGACAAATAGTTTCTTAATGTGCAGAGCTTTTTAGGGTCAGGATGAAAAGGAGCAAGGAAGTTCACTGTGGCTTCACCAATACAATAGGCACTGTACCAGTTTACAGGTTATCCAACAGTCACAGAGTTCAAGAAATTGCTGTTTTTGTACTCTTTGTGTATTTTCCAACAGTCTCTAAATTAAGTCCACCTTTGGTTTCCAATACTTTGGGGCTCACTACTGCATCACTGTCGCAGCAGGTAGCCTAGCTTGCTGTTTTTGACCATCCCCGGGGCAAAATACAGTATGTTTCAAACAGTCCGAAATCGTACTGGTCTTTTCCAAGTCTAACAATTCTGGTTCAGGATAATATCCTTCCAGATGGCTACCTGAAGGTGTTTTCCATAATGCCTGTAGGCTAGATACAGTACCATGCCGAGGGCTTAGTATAATACACATATAGAGGAATATGTCTTTTGACATCTGGGTGAATTTGTATTGTAGGTTATTTCAGGCACATGACCTTCTGGGATGCCACAGATGTCAAAACACACTTAACAGATCAGTATCAAAACACTGTTTGAATATCGGGGTTCACCCCCCCCCCCCCCCCCCCCCCCCCCCCCCCCCCATTTTCTGTCAACAATTCATCTTCATTTTGGAATGACCAATGTGAAGGTCAGGTTAGCCCTTGTCTGTTGACATAGTCATAGGAAACTGATCAATATAGTGTCTGCTCCTCCAATCACTGAAGGTGTAGACCTGTGCCTGTATACTATGTAAGGGCATCTGCTCAGGAAGTTCCAGATGTCTATCAGATTGACCTGCTCTGCTGGCTTGAGTTTCAGTGCAAACAAATAGGAAACTTGAGCCTTATGAGGTCACTTCCTGCTCCAGGTCAACTCTGCAGATCTTATCCAGCATGAATTCCTTTTAATCTAGTTGTTTTTTTACAAGTTCTCCTCTTGATTGTTTTATCAGTGAATACATCCATTCTGCAGCTTGAGCTGCCCCCACCTGGTGTTGATGAACACTTAACAAAAACTAAATCACTGACTTATAATAAGTTAATCAAAGCTAAATAAATAAAGTTTGTTAGCTTGACTCAAAGAACTGTTTCTTTCACTGATTTGGCAACACTGAATCATTTATCTTTACATAGTTTGAAACTTTGAGTGCTCTGATTGAAGTTATCCTAACACTGTCTGTGGATTGTTCTGTTCTTTGGGATTTGTTGAGCTTGGCTGACATGGCGTACACAATTCACAACGTCAGCAGCATGTATTCCTGTCATGTCATACCAGTGATCCAGAAGCAGCTATGTCTGAACTGTTCAACACGGAGCCCAGTAACAGAAGTAACAGGACTCAAATGCGCTATGGTTTGTGTGAATAAAACCCAGCACGGTGGTTGATTATTAAAATGTATTCTGTATTTTGTAAACTTGGTGTTTCCATGTTGGAATGGCATGTACAGTGTGTGGAGAGAACTTTTGATCCTTTTTTAGTCACAAGACTTGTTTCTCCCCCAAACTAAGGCTTGGATCAATCTATGAATTATCTAGCCAGCCAATAGGAACGGTAAAACAATGAAACCACTGAGAGCAGACCTCTGCCCAAGTACACACCAGACTAGACTATTTATCTTTACCCCTCTGGGACACTGACCAAAAATGCAGGGGTGTTCAGCCCCACATCTCTCCTCCTGACCTTACCGTTGCAGTAGCAGCAGGGAGGACACCAGGACATTATACATTTGACCAGCTCTCAAGACAGAGCCCAGAGACCCACAGGGACCTCCCTGGCGCAGCTCTCAGACAGAGGAAAGAAAGATTGTCTGTGGCAGGAAGAGAGTCTTGTGGTAGGGCTTGCTCTGTCTCCCTCTCTGTCTCCCTCTCTGTCTCTCGCTCTGCCTGGCTTTTCAATTAGTCTGCATCAGAGTCTCAGATATGTTAGCTCCTTCTGCTTCCAAAGACCCCAAATCCAGCCTTAGCCGTTATCAGTGAGGAATTCTGGAGTTGCATTCTGAAATTGCAATAGATAGAACAGACATGGTTATCCAATCAACATCGGAAGATAATCCATTCTATATATTCCACTCCTATGTGAATATGCTGAGAACTAGCATCCTATTGAAAAGGTCCCAGGTGTAGTATAGACTGCCATGACCTCTCTTAACCCCTCACCTCTCTCCTCCTCTTTCTCTCCTCACCATGAATGCATATAGCATGTGTTGCCCTTATTGCTGCTTATGTGTAAATCATGTGTTGTCTCTATGGCCCTGGCAGACAGTTTACATCTACCTCAGACCTTGTCTGATGTGCAGTGCAGTGCTAAGGCACAATAGATTAAAAAGTTTCCTTGTAAGTGATTGATGTCTTGCCTTTGTCCAGCTATTCCTACTATATGAACCCTGGAGATATTAAAATAGTTCAGGTACTCAGTCCGGCTCCACCTGTTTTTAGTTGCTCAGTAGACTCTGAGTCTCAGTATTCTCAATTGATCTTTCTAGTTGGTATTTTTAATTTAGTTTTTATTGTCTTTTATTTATAATTTCATATTTGGATATTCTAATTTACGGGTGTCTTGTTCTTAGACTTTTCTGACTAAAGGGCAAAGTTGAGGCTCAAAATCACACATCTTGTATAGATGTAAACTGTATCACTGTTTGCTTGTGTTGGTCAGACCGCCCATGTCCTTCACGTTGGCATCCAGACACCAGGCATCAGCCGCCGAGGACTCCCATTAGACATACTGAAACAATTAACTACAGCCATGTGGTCAACTAATGGTAGGGAACAAATTCCCATTGATTTTATGGAGTAAAGGAAAAATAAGATAATTATATCCACGTCTTATACTACCCCTATGTCTCAAACCGTTTGCAATTCATAAGCAAATGTTTTCAGGGTACCACTCTTTCAACAAATACATTGAGCTCCAAAAGTATTGGGACAGTGACAATGTTGTTGTTGTTTTGGCTCTATACTCCAGTACTTTGAATTTGAAATGATACAATGACTATGAGGTTAAAGTGCTGACTGACAGCTTTAATTTGAGGGTATTTTCATCCATATCAGGTGAACCATTTAGAAATTACTACACTCTTTTTGTATTTTTGTACATAGCCACCCCATTTTGAAATGCATTTGCTGTTTGTTTTGCTTGTGTTTCAGATTATTTTGTGCCCAATAGAAATGAATGGTAAATAATGTATCGTGTCATTTTGGAGTCACTTTTATTGTAAATAAGAATATAATATGTTTCTAAACACGTCTACATTAATGTGGATGCTACCATGATTACAGATAATCTTGAATGAATTGTGAGAATTGCTGAGTGAGAAAGTTAATGGGACACAAATATAATCCCCCCCTAAGACATGCTAACCTTACAATAACAGGGGAGGTTAGCATTTCTGGGGGGGGGGGTATGATACTTAAGCTTCTGTAACTTTGTCACTCACCATTATTCACGATTCATTCAGGACTATCTGTAATCATGGTAGCATCCACATTAATGTAGAAGTGTTTAGAAACATATTCTATTCTTATTTAGAATAAAAGTGACTCCAAAATGACACAATACATTATTTACCATTCATTTCTATTGGGCACAAAATAATCTGAAACAACCAAAGCGAACAGCAAATGCATCCAACTAATTTGTAGAGTCACAAGCTTGATGTAGTCATTGCATGCTAGGAATATGGGATCAAATACGTTTTACTACTTTAATACACATATAAGTGAATTTGTCCCAATACTTTTGGTCCCCTAAAATGGGTGGACTACTGTACAAAAAGTGCTGTAATTTCTGAACAGTTCACCCGACATGGAGCTCACTGTAATTACACATTCAGATGATGCATTAAAGGCCCAATGCAGCTGTTTTTATCTCAATATCAAATCATTTCTGGGTAATAATTAAGTATCTTACTGTGATTGTTTTAAACTAAATTGGCTTCTTAGCAAAGAACAATTTCTCAAGCAATAATTTTGCTAGGACTGTCTGGGAGTGGTCTGAGTGAGGAGGGGAAAACTAGCTGTTATTGGCAGAGGTTTGGAACTCTCTTTCTTATTGGTCTATTAACTAATTTACCGCCTGGTGATGTCACTAGG